AAGCTGCTGGTAATAAGACATCATTTTAGCTTAACATTATCAGAGGTGATAGTCAACATAATTAATAGTCTATATGGTATAGGAACTAACAAATCAGAATGGATACTGGTCCTGGTATTTGCCAGATTTAATTGCCTCTTTATTTTCCGGGTTAAGGTAAGATCTAGGATGTCCTAAGAGTCAGGGACAATCAGATGACCAGGTCAGCAGAGGAGTGAGAGAGACACACAGAGAATTCAAACCACAGTCATTTGTCAACCAGTATGAATATGTTTCAATTTTCATAACCAGTATGGCTATATCTCAGAGTTAATACAGTAAATCAGGGTTAGAGATAGTATTCTAACTTAGATCTTAATTTCCTGGAGGAAACATAATTCCTCAAGGCTTACTAGTAATTATAAGTTGCTGTCTATGAACAATGATCAGAATAATCCTCAATGTGTCAAAAAATAAATTATCTTAATACAGTTAGCTTCACCAACAGCTTCCCACAACAATTAAGAAGCAGACATTGCAAAACTCATTATGAAACACAAAAGTACAGTTGACCTTCCATATATGTGGGCTCCATATTCATGGATTCAACCAACTACAGATTGAACATATTTTGGGGGAAAAGAGAATGATTGTATTTGTACTGAATATGTATAGACATTTTTCTTGTCATTGTTTCCTAAAGAATATAGTATAACAAGTTTCACATGGCACTTGCATAGTATTAAGTATTATAAGTAACCTTGAGATATTTTAAGTATAAGGGAAAATGTACACAGGTTATATGCAAATATTATGCCATTTTATATAAAGAACTTGAGTATCAACAGATTTTGATATCCGTAGGGGTTATGAAACCATTTCCCCACAGATACTAAGGGTAGATTGTACTTACTTTTTTTTTTTCATGAACTCCAAAATAAGTGATACCAAAGGCACTTAATTTTTTTGTATATTTAAGAAATTATTTAATGCAAATAGATTATTCTGTTAGACTAATAATCTTTTTAAATAAAATTTTCACAAATTTGGAAATCACTGCAGATATTAATCAAGATAATGGGTATACTGCAAGAAACCAATCCTCAGAGAATGATTTTTGAGGAAACCATGTATCTGTTTATCATTTTCTAGTTTGTCAATGAGCATTCAAAAAAAGTTCTGACACACATGATTAATTATAATAATGTTATTTTGCTGTCCCTCTGGACTGATACGGCATAATCACTGGCTTATGTAACATGGTACCTCACTTGTAAATCTGTGAGGGAAGCTCCTTTTGTTGACAGTTCTAATGTCTGCCATCTGTTTGCCTGGGATGAAGCCCTGGTGCTCCTCTAATTGGCCATAAATTAGGTATCAGCAGCAGTCTTTTGACAGCATCCTTCAGTTACTGGTTTTATTTATTTATTTATTTATTTATAAAGCTGTGAATTCAACATTTGGTGAGAAGTCCAAGCTTTTTTTCTAAGAATATAAGAATACACTTCTTGAGTTCTTGAACCCAAGCTGTCTTCTCTATATTTATGCTTAAAGCTAGACCTCTCACACAGTGTTCTCTCTGTACATATCCCTGAAAATAAACTTACACTGATTAGAGGGAAAACCTGCTAAATACACAGAAATCCTATGCTTTCTGAAAAAGTGCTTACAACATGCCTTGTGCTGTGTCTGAACTTTTTACATATATTTAATTGTTTGATTTTCAAATCCATTTTATAATTTAGAAAATGTTATCCCACTTTTGTGAACAGGGAAACTGAGACTTAGAATTTAAGTCATTTCCCATATTTTCACAAAATGGTGCAGTCAAGATTCAAGTATTGAACTTTGACAACACCCATTCACTTGCTTCTGCATACAGTATATGCCAAGATTTGGAAAAAGAGAAAATTAGGATTAGGGCAAAAGTATATATGTGATGTTACCACATGCTCCTCTGTCTCTTGAGACTTCATTTTACTAAAATGAAAGAGCTAAAGTAGATATCCACGAAGTCTTCTCCAGTATTGTTCTCTGCGGTTAGATTAATCTTGACTCTATCATTTATCATGAAACCTTATCAAATTATTAAACTTCAACGGACTTTAATTTCCTCTTCTGTAAAATATTCTACCTACCTTCCAGGTGGCAGCTCCCAGATCTAAAAATTCATATATTATAAAGGACTATAGGGATATAAGCTACTATGATGACCCATCTACCCCAACCAGTTGGCAACCCTCAGCCCCATTCTTATTTAGCTCCTCACCAGGTTTCCTTGTGTCATGCTTCAGAGGCCAAATTAAGTTCATCCAAGTCCCCGCAACTTTCTTTATCTACATCTCAGCATTTTTCTACATATTTTCTCCCTCTCTTCTTTTTCACTATTTTCAGAAAATAAAAAAAGAAATATATACTCTCCAAGTAACCTTTCATCTTTTGCCCACAATTTCCTCCCTGGTAGCTCCATTAATCAAATATTCTTGTGAGTATTCCATTTGCTTCATCTTTCTAGAGACTTATACACTGTAAACTCATCATGAGGAAACTTAATACAGTTTCAAGACCCCGCTGAGGTCTCATGCTCATTTCCTCATTCTTTTCTTCCTTTCTTTAACCAGATTTATTGAAAGAAAAAACAGTTTAGGCACAGTGCCATCATTTCCATTCACTCATTATAATCTGGATTCCATTCTCACCTCTTTAAAAAACTGTTTTCTCTCAGGTTACTAAACTTTCACCCTTTTCCTACCTGTATGCCTCTTAGCTTTTAACACTGTGATTATCTCTTTTCTCATTAAATATTCTCCTGGTTTCTCAGGTCTCCTACACTGCTCTGACTGCTAACATCTCATTATTTTTCATTGGTTTCTCTTTCTCTAACTCTTAAATGAAAAGATTTCTCCAAATCTAACCTTGCTCTTTTCATCTCCTCTATTCTTTCACACAATTTCATCTGTTGCATGGCTTTAGCTGTTAACTATGTATAGGCAATTTTCAAGTTAATTGTAAGTTAACTCTAACATGAGTTCCTGTCCCACATTTTCTACCTCCTGTAAGGTCTCTGTTCTTGAGTGTCTGATATTCTATGTTAAATTCATTATATTCTTAGTAGAATATCAGTGTGCCTACCAAACTGTTTTCCCTATATTCTTTCTACATTTTTCAGTCTCAACTACATCCTTAATTTCTCCCTTGTTCTTCACATTCAGTTAGATGTTAAGCTCTCTGGTTTTACCTCTTCATTCTTATGCATTCCTCCTTCTATAAATGGTCCCATGATCGCCCATTTAATTTAGACTCTTTTTTTAAAAAAAAGTAGGATTTATTAAGAGGATAGAAAAACTCCCACAGTGGGAGGGGACCTGAGGGGGTTGCCCTAATTTAGACTCTTAACCAAATATTCTCTCTAACATGTCCCTCAAATTCATTTTACACAGACTTCTCAGATTAGTCTACTAAATACATTGTTGTAGTGACAGCCTTTTCCTGCATAAAATTGTCAGAGATGCTCTTTTCCCAACATTCAGTGTTCTCAGTGAAACAACCCCAATATGCTTGTGAACTTATTTGTTACAGCACCTCTCCCAACTACCTTTACACAGCCTCACTCTAGCCAGTTGAAATGGCTCAGTTTCCTTATGATTTTCCTTTCTCAACTATTCACTGCATTTATATTGCTTGGCTTATACTTCCATATCAACCTAATCATACCATTCCTTCTATGAAGACTTCCCTGATTCTTCTCAAAAGTAATTACTCCCTTTTATGAATCCCCTTAACATTTTATTCTGAGTATTTCTTACTTCTGCCTTGCATGATGGATTTTTTTATATGCCACATTTGTATTAGAAGCTAGTCTGCCAAATCAGTACCTGTGCTGCTCCTTTGCTTTTTCTTCTAGTACAGAGCCTTGTACATAGTAGATTTTCAGTAAATGTAAATTGAGTAGAAGATAGAGTGAATGGGTAATTGTTATTTCTGAGAACCAGATAAAGAATACTTATTCCAGTAATATCCAGGTATTACCATCATTCTGCAAAGATGACACTACTCTGGTTATAGTGATCAAGCATAGAAGGGCCTCTAAAAGCGAGATTTGTGCATCTAGTGGAATCCCTCTCCACCCAAAACCCCCTGGACTCAACATCCAACTCCATCATTCTAGACTGATTATAACTGGACCCGCAGGTACATTACACACTGATATTCGCTGCCTATTCCAGTAATAATGGTTCCAGAAAAATGCATGTTCTACTCTTCTTCTTGGCTCAGGCACTTGGAGTTTCTGATAAATTTATCCACATAACTACAAGGAGGAAAAGTCTGGTTAGTTGCTTCCAGAAGCACATTTCCAGAAGCACATATGCATTTTAATCATGCTCTTCAAGAGTCAATCATCTGATATTTGCAGTTTAGTCTATAAAGCATTGCGGTAATGAGAACAGCAAGCCAGAATTGAGAAAAGAGACAGGGATAAGCATTATCAATTTTAATGGCCCTAAATTTATGCCTATATCTGGAACTAAAGCATTCTCCAAAAGCGTCTTCCCAAAATGTTTGTATTATAGAAGTTTGGAGATAACAAAATAGAGGAGAAAACATACACAAGGAACAGCTCACTTCTTAAAACAACAACCATAATAATAATTCAAAACTTTACAAAGATAGCTAGCATTGGTTGAGTGCCTTCTGAGTAAAAGACACTTGGACAAATGCTTTATTCACATGTTCTCATAAATCCTAAAAATATCCTCACAATATTACATCATCCCCAGTTTACACATAAGCTAGGCTGGAGCTCATAATGTTTAAATACCTTGTTGAAGATCACAAAGCTAGAATGACAGAGCCAACTACTTTTAAGAATAATAGGGAATGAGAATCAAATATAGAATTCATTTTAAAATGAAAAGATATAAACAAGTATTAATAGCATTATAAAATGGTATCTAATTCCAGGAACTTATGTGTGCTGCTGATTTGAGTGTGCAGTTCTCATAATAAAGCCAAGTACTTACTCTCTGTCAATCACAAGGCAGGTTACAGCTTCTGCAGCAATTACGTTTGCTGTTCTCACATCTTCCCTATGGGAGGAAAAAGATAGAGAAATTGAAATAAAATAACCTTAAATATCAAAGAACAGTGTTCATTATGATTAATTCAGGAAAAAAATATTGAATTATGTGAACTCTTCTGATTTATCCACTTCTTTTTGCTTGTGTTTCAAAATTCATTTTTGTGAGAAATCACCTTACCCTTGTCATTAATCATAAAAATCCTAGAGTTATAATCCAGTACTTATATTTTTTAAGTTTCACTTACACAAGTGAAACAATATTTTACATTATCATTTCCTTTGCTCCTTGGGGAAGCAAATAAAGACGACAGTAATAAATATGAATATATGGTACTCGAAGTTAAACTTCTAGAAATTGAGTATCTAGTTCACTTATGCATACATTTATCATTATATACTTGAGAACAATTGATCTTCTCTTATTATTTCTTGTTTTTATGTGGTAAATGTTTAGGCAAATTTTGGCACATAGTTATTCATTTATGGTTCTTCAAGAATATTTGACAAATCTTAGTTACATTGATTTAAAGATGTATATATTGTTTGTTTATAGAAGCATATAATTTTATTGCAGTGGTATCTATCAGCCTCTTAAACTTTAAAAAAATCTATTCTGTTTATTAGTGCCAATGTGACTCAGTGGGCTAATGCTCCAAGACTGAGCAACCCAGAGAAAGAGGAGAGGGGCTTTATCTGTTAGTTTAGGTAAGGGAGGGGGTCGTGTTGTATGGCTATACTTCCAAAGATAACCTGGGTGTCACGGTCTCTCTGTTTTCCTGCAGCAGGATAATTTAAAGTGTACAATTAGGTGACTTTCTGTAGGTATATTTTTATATCTTTTCCAAAAATCTAAAGTCCAGGATTACAGGGTTATACTTTTTTATTCATTGCTAAATCCTCAGCACCTAAAAATTAATCATTGGCACCTATTGTGGTGGAGAGGGACTGATAACAGTTAAACGTATTCCTTTTGGAGATCAATCAGCAAACTCCAAAAACCTACTAGACAGGTTTTACTTGAGAAAACCAAATAGTCAAGGACGGTTTTCCTGGAAATGCAAGATAGTGACCAATTCACTCTTTGTGAAGTCGTCAGTTAACAACCCCTGCTTGTTATGCATATCCTGGATACGATACCATTTGTTCTTTGAAAATCTGATTTTGCTGAGTACAACCTTGTGAATTCCAAAGAAAATGTATAATCACTCAACCTGACTCCCTCCCTTACCTAAACTAAGTCATAAGACTCCTCTCTTCCCTCCCTGGGGTGCTCAACCTACTTCCTAAAACAGCCTCAGTGTCACAGCCTCTCTGTCTTCCTGCTACATTCTAAGTTCTCAATATATATTCATTAAATAATAGTAGTAGATATGAGTTTTTTAAAAAAAGTCTATTCAGCTATGTTTTATTTGATCCAGTAGTGAAATGTATTTGATAAACTAACATTAAAATTTATTTTCAGCTACTAAAAATTTTATAGTACCACTGTCATGTAACATTAAATTATAGTTGAAAATTTACTTTTTTGGAGTTCCATTAAGATGGCAACTGCATAGGTGGAATTGTGAGATTCTCTGATCGTGAGTTCCCAAAAAGACTCTTACTTTTCTTCCCCCACTCCCGTCCCTACCACCTGCTGCACTGGTCTGAGGCCCGGGAACTTTAGGTCCCACGCAGGGCTGGACATTGCAGTACCCAGCTGCTGCTGCTCCACTATACATGACCACTGCCTGTGCAGGAGTCTCGAGTCTCAGCTCCCTCCCTGGCTACATCGTCTTGCCCAGCACCCAGCACCAAGCCACCGGTCACCCAGGGAGGCTCTGGGAACCCACCCCTCAGAGATACCAGTTCCATTTCTGGCTGAAGTACCCTGTAAGGGGCTCAGGGTCACTCTCGTCGCTTACCACCTGCCATTTGGAGATTTGGAGCTCTGGAGCTCTGGAGTTCTGGGCCCACCCTGGCTGAGGCACCTAGCACGTGACTCCATGCTTGTGTAAGGGAATAGCATATCTTAAGGAGGTGCTGATCGGAGGCTCTCAGCTACAGAAGAGGAAACTCCCAACTCCCTCCTCCACCCCAGCCTGCTGCTCCCTGCTCCACCCCAGATCCAGCGCCCAGCTGTGCATCTGATCCTCGGCACCTCGCAGGCCACCAGAGCACATCGTAGTGGATCACCCAGGGACCCAGACAAGTGGAGAGAAAGGATCTGTGAAAAAGAAGCTGCCACTGTGGTCATTCTCCAGGCAGAGATTTGCATTTCCCCGCTCACCTATGAGCAGCCTCCACCTCAGATCCTAAGGTAATGTTGCTAAACAGGAGACAAATCTCCCCCCACGCTGAATCAGACACAGGCAACTTAGCATCGCAGAGCTCCCAGGCAGCAAGCTAAAAGAACAAACCCAAGCTGCGAGTAAATCTAACTGCCTGCAATGAACACAAAGGGGAGAGGCTGGAGATCAGAGCTGAAGAGACTTTAGACAATCAGGAAAGATTCCAGAGCTAGTCTGATTTCTTATTTTGACTTTTGATTTTATCATTTGACCGTTTGTTTTGCTCATTTTTGTTTGCTTTTTGACTTACACTATCTGTGTTAGGGAAACACATCAAAAAGCATGATTTTATGGTCTGTCTTTGTGTAGCTACCAGTATTCTTTAGGGAATTTTGCTTGCGTGTTTTTGTCACTTCTCTCTGGTCTTATGTCTCTTTTTCACCTGTTAGTTGGTATGTATGTCTGTTTTCCCTCTCACTCTTCTCTCTTTCTAACTTCCTATTGACCTCCCCTTCCTCCATTATTTTCCTCCTTTGTACCTCCTTTTGTTCCAGGGATCAAACCTAAACCACTGCACAGACAGATTGTAAGGCAGTGGGAAATAGGTTCCAGTGGGCTCAACAACTGTTAGTGGATGCTGGAATCTGCATATAGATTCTGAATCACAGCTTCCCCCCAATCAAACCTCAAAACTGCAAAAAGTACAACTCACAGCCCACACTCCAATCTCAAAAATGAACAAAGCCAGAGGATCCTCATAAGGAAGAACAGGAGATTGCACAAGCGAAGCAAAAGCAACCCCACCTTTCCTGAAAAACAGAATTAAAGAAGGGGAGGGAAAGGGGGAGAGAGAGAAAAATCTACACAAATGAAGAAGAACCAGAAGAAGAATATGAGTCTCTCCCAGACCCCTGGGAAGACAGATACTGAGAAAACTGACTTCAGAATGCAAACAATGAAGAGCCCCAGAATGACTGATCTCAAACTACAACCTAGATATCAAAGACATTGATGGAAAGTGTAAAAAGAATTGAGGAGAGACAAGAAGAAACTAGGAAGGAGCTGATAACTGAGATACCAGTAATAGAGAATACTGTGAATGAAATAAATAACAAACTGATAAGCATGGAAAGCAGAATTAGCCAAGCAGAAGAAAGAATCTCAGAGCTTGAGGACCAAAACATAGAACTAACCCAAACTGTTAAAAACACAGAAAACAGGCTTAAAAAGACAAAACAAAACCTTCCAGAGATGAGCGATTACTTCAAGAGACTGAACCTAAGAGCAATTGGCCTTCCTGAGGCAGAAAGAGAGACAGAGACCACACTGGAACAAACTTTCCATGAGATTATTCAAGAAAACTTCCCTTAGATAATCGGTGATGCAAAAATTCAAACACAAGAGATACAGAGAACTCTTGTAAGACAAGAAATGAGAAGACCAACTCCCAGACACGATAATTTTCCTAAACAAAGTAGGTATAAAAGAAAAAATCCTAAAGGCAGCAAGAGAAAAAGGTCAGATCACCTACCATGGAAAACCAATTAGAACAGCAACAGATTTATCTACAGAAACCCTGCATGTGGGGGGCCAGCCCCCTCAGAGAGATTTGGGGGTCCCTTGGAAGGTGAGGCAGCATCGGCGATTATTCTGGAAAGATAAAAAGAAAGAGAAGAGGAGAGGAAGAAAGAGACTGGACTCCTGCTCAAGTGACCAGAAGCCGTTCAATGAGTGCAATCTCAGGGCTTTTATCCCCAAACTCTGCAAAGTCGTCATCACAGGAAACAAAGGTAGCATGTGTCTTTCACATGAACAGGTCCGGGTGCACAAAGGACACCCCCCACTCTCAAGCAAATGTTCTTTCATACATAAGGAAGAACATGAGGAAGAACAACCACAAATTGTCTTTTTGTATCTTATGCTAACTTAATGTTCCCCAAACCAGTTTCTTATGTGCCCTTAATTGTATTACAACTACATCATCTTGAATTAACATCACTCAATGTCTAAACCCGAAACCACCATAATGAATTATTAACTTCCACTATTATGTACTAATTCAAACTAGTTTTTATTAAAACAATTGCTGCTATGGTTACACTCTCCTAGTACCAGCTGGCCTAATTCAAACTTCACTAGCCCCCCTAAATCAAACTAAACTAACCACACTTCTATAATAAAATGCTTACTTAATTTTTCTTAATCTATATAAACTATTTTCTTAAAACCTATATCTATAAATTTCTAAAAGTCTCATCAAGAGAACCTGTGACCTGCACTAAGGATCCTCAATGTGACTCAAAGTCAAACTTAAATTGTGATAAAGCAAAAGACCAAAGCCATGGGGAATAGGAACAATAAACTCCTAGGTTAGCTGTGTTTGTTCCGGCCTCAGAGTTTTCTGTTAGAGCCGGCTGGAGCTTTTCTTGGAAGTTTGTGCCAAATGGAAAAGGAGGGAGGGAATGGGTCAATAGCTCCCGAACATGTCCTAGCAGTCTCAGGGTCTACGGCCCTTCCTGATCCCTAATGCTCAGTGGGCCTCCGTGGCCAGCTCCCAACACCTGCAGGCTAGGAGAGCTTGAAGCCCTATCTCCAAAGTTCTAAAAGATAAACAATTTCAACCAAGAATAACCTACCCAGGCAAGTTAAGCTTCATTAGCGAGGGAGAATTAAAATCTTTCCCAGATATCCAGTCCCTAAGATGATCTTCACACCAAAACCAAGAAAAAAATATACA